GCATTTGCAGCAACATGGACTTGAAGATGTCATGCTAAGTGAAATAAGTCAGAGAAAAACAAATACTGTGTGATCTCACTTATGTGCAGAATCTAATTTTTAAAAAAACCACCAAACTCACAGAAAAAGAGATCAGACTTATAGTTACCAGAGGTGGGAGAAGGAGGAATTGAAGGAATGTGATCAAAAAGTAGAGACTTTCACTTATAAGAAAAGTAAACACAGGGGTGCAATGTCCAACATGATAATACTTAATGCTACTGTTTAACGTATAGGAAAGAAAGCAGGTCCTAAGATCTCATCACCAGAACGTTTCCCTTTTCTTTTTATTGTATCTATACGAGATGATGGATGTTAACTAAACCTGTTATAGTAGTCATTTCACAATATACGTAAATCAAACCATCATGCTGTACACATTAAACTCACACAGTGATGTATGTCAGTAATTCCTCAATAAAACAAAAAAAAAATAAGAAAACTATCACAGCGAAAAAAATGTGACAATGAATATATGTACGTTCATGTATAACTGAAAAATTGTGCTCTACACTGGAATTTGACACAACATTGTAAAATAACTATAACTCAATAAAAAATGTTAAAAAAAAGAAAACTCTAATGCTCTCATAATTCAGAGATGTGACTTTGGGAAAATAATGATTAATTATATAGCACCCAAAATTAATTCATCCTTGCCACTTTCCATTCCTCATTTCTCAATGTCACATTTCATTGCAGACTGCTAAATATCATCTTGTTTACACTTATCAGACCAACTGACCCATTAGCCTTCCAATCTGGTTAATACTTCCTATTTCATATTGGCTGAAAGATTGCCAGAAGATTGCAGAAGAGTAAAGTATTCCAAGATTTAGTAAAACCAGGACTCATACACACACCCTTCATTGAGTTAAATATAAACAGCCCGAGAATGAAGTGTAATTCTGGTCCCGGTTACCCTTCTATATCTGTCCTCCTGTAACATTTTAAATCAGTTATATCTGATCTTAAAAACCACTTTAAAGCCAAATTTCCTATCTATTACTTACGCAAAAAAATTTATCTTTTGAAATAATAAGCAAGAGTGGGGTGAACTGGGCAGGGAATCGCGGTCTGCATTTTGGCAGAAGGCAGTGAGAGATGACACAGCCTGTGCGAGCCGGTGGCAGCTTGGAAGGAGTGGAGGCAGCACCGGAATTCAAGTTTGCTAGCACCTTTCAGAGAGAAGAGCGTGGGTGGGAGAGCTCCTGACACAGATAACCATTCTTATAAACCTCATTAATTTTGGCACCAAAGTAGCTGGCCTTTGGTCTGGTGGGATTTCCCTGGCTCACTGCATGATGGGACGTGCAAAGAAAGTGGACGGGTAGCTTTGTTATTTTGCAATCATCCATGACATTCTATCTGCAGTTTTCCATGTTATCCGGGGGCAGCCTCCAGACCCGAATCAAGGCAAAAAATGTTGGGTAGTGTTTGGCTCCTTGCATGGGAAATATCTTACAAAAATTAAAATATCAGGACTAATTTATTATACAAAGCTCGGGGCAGCTGTTGGCATAAACGCCTCTCTCTCCTCCAGCTGCTCTCTCCCTAACGATGGGCTGAAGTTGCTGAGAACGTGTGCAGGGCCACAGCTGCTCTTTCCCTGTTTGAGGGCATCTGACACAGTGACTAGGGGCACAGGCCCTGGAAGCAGGCAGAGGGACGTGTTCTTCTGTCCTGGTTCTGATGACAATCTTGACATTGGCAGGATTTTTAACTTCTTTGAATCTCGGTGTCTTCTGTAATCATGTGTACTTTGAGAGTTGTCCCAAAGCATACAAAGATTGTTTATCTAGCGCCTGATACCTGGTAGACATCCAACGTAGGCTAGGATTTATTATTAAATCCCTGATCCTGTTGACTATCCAGTGACAAAGCTCAAAGCGACAAATGAGAGCAAACAAAACAAAATAAAACCCCCCAGCAATGATCTATAAGAACCAGTGATAGGAATCACCTATAGAAGGCTTCTGCCCTCTGCTTGAAAACGGGAAATAACTACTTTCCAAGTAAGTTTCACAGCACAGGATGCTCTCACAGAACTTCATCAGAATGATGACAGCCTCAAGGTGATCTAACACCAACGCAAGAAATTTCCTTTCAGCTTTCCATTAGCTTACGCCATCCTACTCTGATCCAGGGCTCCAAGGGGTCCCTGCAGTTGTATACCAGTACTGCTCATGGAGGGCCTTCCTTTAGAACCTTCTGGGTTATTAATATCCTTGTCCAAAGCTGCGGGAAGCCCAGGTTATCATTCTTTCACTCTCCCAATTGTCTTTCCATCAGTACCCTTTCTTGATGACAGGATGTACTATTTTTAAGAAATAAACCCTAGTCTCCTTTTACACACCTGTTTCCAGAATACAATATCAATGAAGAGAAATTGAGAAGCATTTGATGAAAGCGGTAATATTTGACAAATGTGTTTTCTCAGTATACACTCAAAAAAGTCACTTGAGAATGTCTGGCATCACTAAATTGCATGACTGTATGTTAAAAATGCTTAATTATTTTCTAAAGTATATTCCATGAACTGCATTAAAACACATGTTACGGCAGATTTTTAAAAGCATTCTTCACGTAGCGCTCCATGAGGGCAGGGTGGCGCCAGTCCTGTTCGCTGCGGCATCGCTAGTATCTAGTGCACCGCCCGGCACACAGGACACTCAGTCAGCACTTGTTGACTGACAGACTGTGATCTTACTCTAAAGAAAGTACTTTTAGATGGATGGAAATATCTTTCAAAGAAGAGCAAAGTGATTCAGCAAACTGGTATTCTGGAACTAAAGGAAAATCAGAACTCTTGAGGAGTAGCAGAGTAAGCCCCTTTGGGGAGAAGGTAACAGATCCATGCTGGGATTCACAGAAACCAGAAAGGGAAAGTCGGGTGTAGTCTCAAACGCATTCAATTTCAGAAAAGCAAATGTAAACATACCCCCAAATGCATGATTTCAGAGATGAAATTCAAAAGCCAGCTGTTCAAATTGCAGTTCTGCCCCTGTCCTTACAGGTTCCCAAAGAACGAAAGGGAGCCATCCAGTAGCCAGCGTTTACACCTGACGACCCTCCAACGACCCACTTAAGGACATGAGATTACAAAACCAGAGCCAGCTCGAAGAGCAATCCTCCAGTTGGTGGCAACAAGGCTGGGAACTGGTTGAAGATTACAGAAATGCTAAGATAAACACAACTTCTGTGTCTAGCTCTAGCTCAGAAGACGACAGGAGGTGCCGGGCCACAGCTGGGGGCCCGTGATTGACTGACAGATGTCAGAGTCAAGGGGGATGTGGTTTTGCTTCTGCTCTTCTATTGAGAATGCCCTTTGGGAAGAAGGGAGCATTCACAGTGCACCGAAAAGGCAGTAGATGTGTACCGGTTATCACTGACCTTCACAGCAGAAGCAACGGAGAAATCCCCATCGCTGTTCTAGAGATGATGAAACTAAGGCTCAGGGCAGCTGAGAACTTGCCTTCATTTACCCATTAATTGGTAAGCAGAACCAGGGTCCAATTCAATTTCGACACCAAAATTCTTTCCAGTAAACCACACTCCCTCTTTACTATTCTGAAAAGATTTCCAGGAATGAGGGTGATTGGGAACATCTCTGAAGAGATCATAAAATCACACAGCTGCTGAAATCTGGCACAATCCAGGTGAATTACACCCAGGGCCCTTGAGATAAGATCAGTTTGCTGACCTTTAAGGAATCACAGGCAAATACTATCTTCATTTTTCGAAAGAATGCTTAAGACAGACTGGGCAAGGGAGGCTACTAGCCAGGGGCCAAGCCTCTTCTGCCTCGAGATCTCCAGGATCCTGCCCAGGGCCTCACACACAATGCTTCATACGTGTTGAATGAACAACACGTACCTGAATCTCCGTAGCTTTGTCAGGCAGGATTAAACGAATTTTGAACAGGTCCAAGGGGGTGTGCAAACATGGAGACCTAATTCAAGGCACAAGGTGCCGCTGGACCTCTCGGGATAGGAGTGTGGCTTTGAGGAGGCAGGGAGTCCTCATCGCTCCAAGGACTCACCGATCTCAGCTAAGTATTAGAAGGAAGCAGAGTCAGTTTAGGCCCTCACCTCTCACCATGGTTCCCTCCTCCAGCAGGACGTCTTGTTTGTCTGCCATACATCTGGTGGGGGTGGGGTGTTGGGTCGGAGACAGAGGGAGGTGGAGGTGACAGGTGAATATGGCGGAGGAAACTGAGAGCTGGCCTCCCGTTTTCCTTCCCAGAAGCCTCAGCTCCTTAACTCTTAACTTGGAACTCAAGACTAGAATCCTCAAACTAGTTCTGCTACACAAAAGGCTTTAATGGCTGCTCTGGGGGCTGATTACCACTAAGAGCATTAATCAGAAAAATGAATTCCAGGTTCCCAACGACGAAGTTATGGATAACCTTACACAACATAATCCATTAAACTGAAAAAACATAAACTTGTATCACTCTCATTGCAATCTTTCCCCCCCAACAAAATAGGAGGAATTTGTTAGTTATTGGGCTCATCTGATAGTGAGTGACCCGTGTAATTTCTAAAATTCTACATTTGTGATCAAGTTAGTTTGCAGGCAAATTACCTTCATTTTAGATTTCCAAAACTCCCTTCCTGAATCATTGCCAATGCAATGCAAGTTGGCCTAAAAGTTAAAATCAAGTTTGTAGACGTTCTCTTTGGACGAACAGAGAAAAAGTAATCATGTTGACATTAGAATTTCCTCCCCTCTCACAATATAGAGCCAGTGGAAGCACACTTCAGAATCAACTCCCGGCGACGGGAGGTACCCTTGAACACTGGACGCAAGGGCTTCACCATCAAGGGGACACTAAAGCCAGCTGGGCAGAGAGAGGCAGTCTTAACGACCAGGAGACAGGAGACCTGGCACGCCACGACCGTGCTGCGCCAAGAAACCTCGAAAACACGCACCCCTAACACATATGAACCCGGCACCGGTGGCAGAAATGACAACACAAATATATTTCTCATGCAAAATAGGACACGTGATACATTATTTACATAATGCAAATAAAGTGCTGAAAACTAAGCTTTCTTTTTCAGGATACCACCGTGATCAAGTGGTTTCAGAGAGAGTTAATGCCACGTGGTGAGCTTGCAACTCTGTAAAACCATGACGAAGACAGTACAGAAAATGCACTTTGGTAGAAACCTGGGAAGGGGAAAGGCTGCTAGCAAAAAAATGAAAACAGGAATGAAAGAAGTATATTTTCTTTTATATACAACAATGAAGGCCCCAAAAAATGGTTTGTCAAAGTCGCTATCAACAAGATGTTAAGTTATTTTTCCTTTGCTTTGGTTGAAACAGCCCAGGAACGGCACTCAGTCCCCCTTCTACAAATAGTATATAAACACAGTGACAGGACTACTTTTTGGACAAAATAATCAACTTTTAAGAAAAGAAATTAAGTTAACTTTAAACTGAATTAAACATTTACCAATAAATAAGTTTCTTAAAAAGGTAGCATCTTCATCCTACAACCTTGGGCATAAAATATACACCAATTTAAAAATAAAATTTCTCTCACAATAATAATTACAGGTGTTAATGCCACAAGCTATGAAATGAAATTGCTTTAATGTAGCTTAAAAAAAAATCCTAGCAATCAAAAATAAATTTTAAAAATTGACATTTTTCTAAAATGATACATACTAAAATAATTGACTAATACTTGATTACAGAACATAATTCCAACTTTGTCAGTATTTCAATATATTCCTAAGAAACGCTTAAAAAGAAATTTTGCACACCAAAATTGGAACAGCACTTATAATTCTGTTTATGGCTATGAAAAGGCAGTCAGCTTCTACTTAAAACCGTAACCAGTGATGAAAATATACTTCAAAAACATAAACATTTGGTCTGACAATCTTTAATATTGGTTAAAAACAGACTGATGTTTGTTGCTGATGGAAGTTACTTTAATCCAATGTGCAAAAAAAAGTGCGGCTGTCTACTTTTACTTGAGATACATGAGACCAATGCTTCTGTACTATTTACACACTTAAAAGATTTTAAATGTATTAATTTAAGGAAGGACACTGCATCCCCTCTACGGATAAATCACGCGCTACAGGGAGCCCAAAAGCTTGCTGACATCCTGTCAAGTTTCCCAAAGTATCTGAAGAGGCATACCTGTTCTTGTCCTAATTTTGATCCTAAATAAAAATCCAATTTCAGAATCAACTGACTTAGGAAATCTTGGACTTGTGGCAAATGAGCAAAGCTTGTCTCTGAGAGCCAGGTTCCTAGACTCCCTTTTCTAACCCTCTCGCCACTGGTCCAGTCCACAGACCCCACTGGCTGCAGAGAGGCAATGCCCTAAACAAGGAGGAATGGAAAAATTCAGCCCTCAGACCACCAACATGCCTGTGGGCTTGCTCAGCCTTCGGGACTTGTGACGACATCTTTGGGGGCAGGTAGGGCCAATCAAAAGGGCTGAAGAAACACTTGGGCAGAGCCACCATTATTTGTCCACACACACACACACACACACACACAGTAGAAAAACAGTGATAGAAAATTAACCAACCAAATATATAAATCTAAGACCATTCTGCATTCCCAGAACTTGTTTTCGTATCTGCGCAGGGTCCTCACCAGTACTTTCTGCGTCTAGATGAAGTACTTTTACTAAGTTATTAAAAATGCTCTTGTGACCCTGTCACATGTAATGGTGACCAGGAAATCAAGGTACTCAGTTATCACTCTGTGCAGCACACTCACCCGTGTGCCAAGCGGAGAGAGGAATTAAAAAAGGAACAGAAGTCTCTCGCTTCTGCACTGGACACAGGAGTTCTCAAATTAAAATCAGAAATCATAAAAAAGACGGTGGGGGAGGGGGTTGCTTACTGGCGACATTAATACTAGACACCAGACAGGACAGTGAAACAGTTTGGTCAGAACCAAGGAAGGGTGCTTCCTTGCAAAGTTTAAAAAACACGAAACCAAGCACTGCCTTAAGTCCAGTGAGTACAATGCTCTGTAAGTTTCCACCAAAAAGCACAGTGGCTGGCGTTCGCGCACCGGGATGCGGCGGGCTGCGCATCCCGGCCCGCATCCTCTCTAGCTGCAGGCGATGGTCTCCAGCTGCTGCTCGGCCTCCGCGGCCATGGCCGCCGCCTGCAGCTGCTCCGTCTCGCTCTGGATGGCGCTGGGGGTGACCTGCTTCCTCTCGCTGTGCATATTGTTCTCGTGCCTTTTCAGATCCGACGCCTTGGCGAAGGCCTTGGTGCAGGAGCCGCAGACGAAGGGCTTCTCCCCACGGTGCCTGCGCTCGTGGTCCTTGAGGTGGGACTTGTGCTTGAAGGCCTTGTCGCACATGTGGCAGGCGAAGGGCCGCTCGTTGCTGTGCACCCGCTCGTGCTTCTTCAAGTCCGGCGCGCGGATGAACGACTTGCCGCACACCTCGCAGCTGTAGGGCTTGTAGCCCGTGTGGATCTTCAGGTGCTCCTTGAGGTGGGCCTGCGTGGTGAAGCCCTTGGTGCACATTTCGCAGACGAAGGGCCGGTCGGCTGTGTGCAGTTTCTCGTGCTTCCGCAACCTGCCCTCGTCCGAGAAGGTCTTCCCGCAGGCCTGGCAGGCGATCTGCTCCCGGTGGTGGCCGTAGAGCAAGTACTCGAACTTCATGTCGCTGGTGGCGGTGGTCCAGCCCGGGGTCTGCTCATCCTTCACTTCACTCATGCCGTCGTTAAATGTTAAGGCTTGAGGGGTCTGGGACCCCAGATCCTTCGACTCGGGCGTCTCCATGGACTCGACTTCCTGGCCGTAGCAGTTGACTTTGCGCACCTCCTCGCTCCCCAGCTCCTTCAGGATCGCCTCCTGGACCCTGAGCGTGGTCGTAGGTGACTTGCCGTCCTCCTGGCTAGGGGGGGTGCCTTCTACCGTGTCATCGGAAGGACTGTCATCCTGATCTCCGATTTCTTCCACGTCGTCGTCCTGAGCGTCGGCGGCGTCTCCGATGGGGCGGTTTATCTTGAGGCAATACTTGCTTTTGGACTGGCCGTTATTTTCGTCGGGACTAGACACGTCGCGCTTCTGCGAACAGAGTTTATCCAAGAATCGGATCCCCAGAATCTGACCTGATGACATCATTAAGTTAACATCTTCTTTTTTCACGGAAATCTTGGCAGTGTACATGTAATTCAGGACCTCTTCAAATATATCAGAGCGAAGAAAATCTATTTCTATGACGGACGAGCTATCAACCTCAAGCTTCTTGAAAAGCTTTTTAAAGTAGGTGCTGCAGGCGGCAAGAACGCACCTGTGTGCTCGGAACTTCACATCTTCCACCACGATGGCGATGTCGCAAAATTCTCCTTCCAGGCGTTGTTCATTTAGCGTTTTCAGAAACAGAGTTTTATGATCATCGTCATTATATTTAATGGTTTCAGACATACTGATGAAAAACTCCTATGAAAAATGTTGAAAGAGAAACTTTGGTAATTATGAACAAGACTTTCCCATACAGAACACACAGGCAGATTTTCATTTCCTGAGCAATTTTCAGTCCCTGGCAAATTCAGAAAGTCAGCGTCAGAAGTGGTTCAAGGATATGAGTAGAAAATACAGATCCCAACCAAGGGATGTCCATACTGGTACTTCTATCTTCCGCGCACTGAGCATCTGTCTGGCTACTTCTACTGAGCGCCTGAGCACATGCCTGGCGTTGTTCTATGTGCTTTCCTTTCCACGTCTTCACAAATGCAAGGATCAAATAACCTCGAGAGACAGGTATTACTACCCTCACTTTATAGATGAGCTCAGGAACCTGCCCAATAATCAGGTTATTCAGTGGTGTGCTGGGGCTGGAATCCAGGCAATCTAGCTCCAGAACCCATGCTTCCTGACAACTAGAGGTACTAATGACAAATAACTCAACTTCCAGGTTTAAGACACAGCTTTCAGGCAGGAATCCATGAGTGCCGTCTGTTGCGTCTACTTTAATGTCACACAGAGGAAGATTCAGGAAAATAACTAGCAGCTCACAGGGTTCTACTTCCTGGACGGAAGAGACAGGTCACTGTTGCAGAACTAGAAAAGGATATCGGTGCCAAAACGCTCCATTCAGCGCTGCCTTCTGGTTTTTCCATGCCAGTTTTGGGGCCAATTTGAACAAGGGTTAAGGTTTAATATGACCCTCAGAGCATCAGAGGGCATTTGCGAAGACAGTGACAAACGCCTTCATTCCCTCTGGATGCCAATCTATCTGCCATCTAGATCACAGTATCATCAAGACTGGATGCACCTGACAAGGGCTGCAAGTATTTTATAAGCAAAAAAAAAATTGGAACTGGCACAAAAGACACCTGTCACCATGTTAAAGAAGTGATCTTTTTAAAATAATGTGTTCTGTATGTTTTCTTTCCAAAAACATTGGTTTTCTTTGATTCAACAAAGTATAACTATGAGGAAAATATACATTTCCCCTAAAGAAACAGAAGCGCTAATACGTAACTGAGAGATATGTTATCTTAAGCTAATACCAGACAATATTTGCAAGATGTAATATCCAAAGTTATAGTTACCATGAACAACTCAGGCTATTATCTTAATGCTTTAAACACCAAAATCTTCAGATCAGAATAACTCTGATCAGGGGCACGCCAGTCCTACAAGAGAAAAGGACACACAGAGTAAGGTCGGATCTTCCCCCATCACAAATTCTAAATAAGAATGTTTTCAAGAATTGATTTTAAAAAATAAACTTTCCTTTCTTGGCCTGCCACGTGCACATGTACCCATTTTCAGGTTGGGAACAGAGAGGAGGGTGGCTGGCAGTATCAGGTCCAGCTCTGAACAGACATGAACGGGGACTGGTCAGGGCTGTAGTACTTGAGGCCTGGGGGGATGCACTGGGGATGGGAAGGATGAGTTGGAAAACCACTAAGGAATTTCTCCTCGCAAACAAAGCCCACGTCCATGTTTGTAAGCATGTTGATGGCTACACAAGAGTGCAAGTCAAAAAAAAAAAAGAGTGGAAGCCAGTAAGTGCTCCCCACCCCCACCATTTCCCGCTGGATACACAGCGTTCCACATTTTTCTCTAGGCTCTTATAGAGTATATATTGTTTATTAATATAGGTAAGGTTACAAAACTACATACAGCCAACAGCTAACATTGGAGGAGAGGAAATAGCAGTTTTCTTCTTTCCAGACTTCTGTGTGATGTAGCACACATCACTTACACTACACGGGTCTCTACACTTGCAATCGTGAAATCCAGGTGTTTTTGCCTTTACCCCTACAGGGAGGATCAAAGAATTCTAGCTTTGTACACGTTTTAACTTTTACCACGGGGCCTCCATCCTGCAGACCAACATCCTGAAAAACAAAGTCTCCCCTGCAAACAGTGACCACACAAACTTGCGTGTGGTAGGACCAAAGTCCTGAAAACCCTTAGAAGTTCTCTCTACAGAAAAGCAAAAGCACCAAGCCGCCTCGAGCAGCAGGCTATTTTCTTATCTGCCAAGTGTGAGGGTTGGGCAAAATTATTTCTAAGGCTGCTTCCCGCCCTGTCTGCTCCCTAGGTGCACCCTGGCCTGCAGTCACCCTCAAGGGAAGGCAACTAGGCAAAACCTTCCTGCTGGGGCCACTTCCTCCTGATGCGAGCGGCTCTCCCTAGGGCTTGTGGGATAAAAGTACATGGACCAGACACAGGAGTGGCATACAGTACCCATGGTAACAAATGACTGCGCTGGATTTTTTTTTTCTTTTTCTTTTTTGGCCAGTGTGTTATTTGGCCTCGACTCTTTCAGTATCTCTGAGGACCTTTTTTTTTTTTCTGCTGAGATGTTCCCATTGCCAAGTTCAGGTGAGTCAAACTGGAAGACATCCGCTGCCACTATCCCAGAAGCTGGAGGGAAAGATGTATTCCCGACCACCCCTCCAGTACGAAGCTGCCCACTTTATTAAGGTTTTCCAAACCGCCGCCACCGAGCTGGAGCGGGGACTCCCGCAAAGACAAACTTACATAAGCGGCGGCGGCAGCCTCCCCTGCCCCGGAGCCGCCGCGACAATGGCGGCGGCCCCACTTCCCGGTCGCAAGCTCGCAACTTCGGGATAGGGGGGTGGGGTGGGAGCAGGGAGCGAAGCGCAAGACCCACGGCGGCCCCAGAGCCTTTCCAAGCCTCGCGCCCATTTCTGTCGGCCCGGGAGGCCCGGGGAGTGAATAAAGCCTTTGCATTCCTCCCGGAACAAAAGCTCCCGGACTCGGGAGCCGGGAGGTGAAAGGGCCGCTTTCCCTTTCAGAATCGGGCATTCGGCGCAGGCTGGGGCCGCGCCTCCGAGCGCGAGAGGGAG